ATTTTTCTTTTTTTTTTTTTTTTTTTTGAGATACAAGAGACGTTTATCGTGATTTTTTTTTTTTTTTTTTTGTTTTCATTTATAACACGAAGAACAAAAATTTATCGTCCTGTGAAAACAGTACAGCTAGAAATGTAGAAATGTTCCCTGCGCATGCGCAACAGATATGCAGATAGGAAATTAACTTTTTCAAACGATGGAAATACATATTTTTCTTTATTACACACTCGCGGTGAAATTAGTATACTAATTCGTGTGGGATATTAAAAATCAGTGCAATTTGATGATACACATAGCTGGATAATGATCTCGTAACTACTTCTGATATTTAATAAATTCTTTAAGATACCTGCTTTAACCTGTCGCAAATGTTAGTTTACGTAAGGAAATCATCTGCATAATAGCTTCCTTTTATTTACAACTACAGATTTCGAGATCAAAATTCAAGATAAGCGAAGTGTCCTGCGCGTGTTCGTGGAAGAAATTTAAATTTCTCGATTTTATTTTCAGACTTCGTAACAATTTCTGCAAGATAATGACGAACAGTCGACTTTCGTCCCATAATTTTCACGATTATTACGGGGAAGAAATTATTTTGCCCGGCAATTTTTATTTCTCTCACATTATTATTTTTTTTAATCCCGAAAAAAAATCACTAGACATTCTTTCGTCGATATACGTTAGTATTGAGTTTATCGATTTGTAAATTGTTTTTCGTCGAATTGCCGGCGAAAAACAATTTAATTCCTTTCGAAAAAAAAATTTCATCAATCTATTTCGGTTTTAAGTACAGGCTTGAGTTAAAAAGAAAAACAAAAAAAAAAAAAAATTCGTTGCATCGAGAGACTGCACTATAATTTGATTCATCGAATATATATAGCTCACCGTTGCCGTAATGACGATGCCTCATTGCAGCATCTTTGTCACTCTTTTTTTCCACAACAAATTCTCTGAACGATTTCAACCGGTTCTCCTGATACGATGTAAACAGCGATTTTCTCGTTTCGCCAGCGATACATGCTTGCGTTCCGAGGCTCCCCCCATTTATCTTTTGACGTAATTCGCTTAGGACGAATTATTCTGTTCTAGATGGAAGCATAAATAGCTCGGCCGTGTAACAGATCGTGATTATCAATACTACGACTATGCTACCGTAACTACACTATTAATTGAATGCCATCGAAGACCATTATTCGAATAATAATTAAGTCGACTTTTTCAAATTTTTCAAGTTGGTAGCCGATTTAGAGAATTTTATAATTCAAGCATTATGTAAGTTACTGAATCAAAGATTCTATTCATAAGAATTGATTTGATTATCATTCAAATTATATATATATATATATATAAACACGATATATTAAATATATGCTATCGCTCGAATATAATTATATTATACACAAGTATAAAAAATATCGTACAACGAGAATATGTCACGACGAGACATGTTTAAGTTAAACTTCCCGCCAGTTATCCGGCACTTAGGAATATTGACAATACAAATAAACGGCCTTGCGATAACTGACTAAAAGTTCTCAAGACGCGAGAGCGTATTTACATTGTAATTTATACGACCTACTGCAAGAGTCACTCTTACTCTGTAAAAACTGAAATTGATTCTACACAAAATAAATTGATCGCAATTTATCTAACCTCTTGTTCGAATGATACAACATAATTTCACATCGTAGATGTACATGCATCGTTTGTATGTGAATACCGTTTACTCTTGAAAGTGACAGAGAAAGAGAGAGAGAGAGAGAGAGAGAGAGAAAAGGAAAAATGAAAGAAGAAACGTTTACAGCGCAAACAATAGGCAAGGCAACGAGTAGAAATTTAACGGTCGTTGTCGTAGCTGATATGGGGGATCGGTCGCATGGCAGGCACGATGTCATCGGAAAAAGTCGGTGTTCGGAAGACCCTTAACAATATCGATCGTATCAATCCGCAATTCTGTCAAGGCAGACCGCGAGGAATGGGCGTTCACTGGGGGGCATTGCGCACAAAACAAGTTTTTCGCGTGTATCGGCGCACTAGGAACGAACAAACGAGACCTAACCTCTCAAATTCGCACAGGTGCAAGGCCCAGCGGGAATTTGGGCTGGATCGAACGATGTATCGAAACAGCTGTTTTCCATGACATTAAACCGAAAGGCTAATTCAGTTTTATTTCGTTATCACTCACCGTATCGCTGGATGTAACACCGGAGACGGGCTGGATCCCACGGGAACAAAACAACACCGTCCGCACCAGTTTTATTTCCCGTGGATATTTCGGATGGTCGGCGTGTCGGACTAGTCGGACTAACCGATCTTCTCTTTTAGCCACGTGATACCTCGGGGCTCGACGATAATCATGTACCGACACCGGTCTAACGCTCGCACGCGCGTCAACACAAGCCCCTCTGTTTACTACTATCCACGGTGCACGATAAATTAAAGTAATCAGGCATTTTTCAACATGCTCCTCTCCGCGAAACCTGTCTACTCCTTCCACTGACACGTCTTTTGTGACGTCACCGATTCAATACTTTTCGCGAAGGTTTCTCTTCTTCGTTGGTGCGGCGGATGCCCACCAGATGGCAACACGAGCGCGATTATCGGTTCATTCAAGTGTCGCTCAAATTGGAG